TCTTTCTATGCACTCTGACACTTTTCTAGTCTCAATTCTGAGCTACATGTAGATAAATGTTGCACCGTCGTTGGAGTCCGAACTTTCCGAACCGCGATCGATGTTATTTTTTCTGAGACGAAGTTTTGCTTCTTCAGACATTGGAGTCATATTCTTCCTTTTTTGTCCCTTCCTTCTCTAATAATAATTCTGATAACAATTTTAAGGAGCGCTAATTTTTTGATGTGTCACACACGGTGTACTAATATAGAACGATCACAGAGACAGGGCGTGCATGCGTTGTTTCCGTTGATAAGTAGGCCAACTTATGCAAATTAGGTCAATATTTATTGTTTACGCTCAAAGCCGATTATCCTGAAATCAAAGTGAGCGGTCTGCTGTTATAAACACATATCCTAACTTTTTTGTTAAAAATGCCTTTTTTGGGTGTACTGGTTACTATTTTGAGTGGAAAACACATCCATTGCATGCAGATAGACAAATGCCACCAAAATAGACAATAAACAAAAAATGTATAAAATAGTGACTGTTATGTCTACTACATCCTTAAGTTACTGGCTTTACCTGTGATTGTAGTTTCCTGTGTAACTCTGCAAATACAGCTGCGTCCTGAGTTCTTCTTTGTCTTACCACTACAAAGACAGATTTAAATTGTTACATCAGTGCGTGGACTCAATCATTAGAGCAGAATCAACAAATTTGTCTAAAACCAAAACAACTTTTTGCTTCTTGTCCGAGGGAAAAAAAAATTGAAGTGGTACAATGTATTAACATTTAATACCAAAAGATTTATTGTTTTTGAATACATGCATTAAGGTTGGTTTTGATTGACACAACATCCTCTGACACAGAAAAACATTTCAAACTTAAGTGGTAGGAAAAATTACAAGAAGAAAAATGTTCTATTACTTCCAAGATAATGACTCCACTCTTAAGGTAGGGGAACTATTATTTGCATGCTTGTTTTCATCTTCTAATTGTGACCAAATGCTACAAATAGACCCAGGAAAGTATATATTTTTAGAATCGCCAGACTTCAAGCTTTACAAAGATGTGTTTGCCATGCTCGTATCTGCATTCTACGCTGCGTTACTTAATCAAAAGTGAAAAATTACTTTTTTTGTAAAAAAAATAATTACGCATTTATGCTGGTGATGAGAAGTTTTTTTTTCATATTTCCTAGTTGTTCAATAGTCTGGTAATTTGAATGTGTCTGGTCAGTTTTATTCAAGCAACGCGTTTTGAAAAGTAGTGTCCTGAATTTTAATTTCTGTTTTAGTCGCATTGCCCCCAACTCAAACCACAACACATTTGTAAATAATCCATGAAATAGTTTGTCTGGACACATTCAAGTTCCTCTCATTGTAACCTTAGAGCTGTGAAAATTTGGTGTTAATCCGACGACAATAAGTATCCGTTATTTTTTGTTAAAGACCTTGTATTTTGAAAAACATAAACTCCTAGAAATCGTTGATGAAGTCACAGCAAAGATTTCAAGCTTGTTTATCAGCACAAGCGATTTGTTTTCACATCAAGGTCTGTTTTAACATGTGTAGGGACATCCAAATGTGTAAGGCTATTGGAAACCAAAATATAAAGGAATGGGGCAGCTATAATTCGATAAAATCTGCAGATGAAAACACCAAAATCAATGATTTTTTTCAGTGGCTGTGTGACCTTGCGTCTGACACATTCATATGCAAATGACTAATCTGTGAAATAAACAGGGGCAAAGACAACACTCAAATGTTTGGAAACACTCATTGTGTGTCAGATAGCTTCTGATAACACATCCTAACATTGCTTTGTCTTGAGTTAATCTTTGAAACTTATAGGCACACAGATTAAACCTGTGTTGTTGATTTTGGAAAACACTACTGAAGCTGCCTTGCTTCCCTTCAGAAAATCTACATTTTAACCAACTTACATTCTAGGTTACGTTGACTTTATCAGATGAAAGTTAGTGCATTTCATCAATTAATGAATAAATGTGAAAATCGTAATTTTCAACACAAATAATAGTCTCGCTACCTTAAAGGGGCACCTTCCAGTTAAGATTAATTTTACAACAAATTTACTTTCTGGATTAAAATAACAATGGATAACAAAAGATAGATTAACATTGTAAACAACATAAACAATAGTGTCCCATGATTCTTTGGTGCAATCCAAGGGATTGAGGGTTAATTTTGAATATGCAGATAACTTGACATAAAACAGTGGACTTCATAATGGTTTTGAAATTAGTGCAAATAAATAATTTCAAATCATGGAAATTTATATTCACCAATAATAGTAAATCCATACACCATCAGTAGTGCATGTGCTAATACGTAGATTACAGAGCTGATTTGGATGGTGAAAACAGATAAGATAATATAATGTATAGTACTGATTTACACATACAATTATTGGTTTATATGCACTTTTATTAGAAATGCACTTATTATAGAGCAAACACTCTACTTGTATACTCAAACATGTATCATATCAGTACTCACATTTCTTCTTGATCTTTTCAACAACTAGAAATTCATCAGTTTCTATAGATGGTGCCAGACCACTGTCAAATAACAAGAATCAGGTCAGTCATTTGGGATATGCTCACATGAGTGAAAATAATTATAACCTGAATATTGATAAGTATTATTTTTGACATACGAAACATTGGATATTTAGCAGATACTCCATAAAACCCTGATAAAATAAACCTGTGGACTACTCTACTGTAAAATCTAGACTGGTCCAGTTGTGGCAATTTTATTGTTTTATACGATAATTTGAGTTTGTAGAATCTTTCTCGTTGACGGGAAATTACTACGACTGGTTTATTTTGCCATACCCTCTATAGTTGTCACCACGTTTTTGTGGTGGTAAATATGCTAATGAGTAACATGACTTGTAAGCTGCCAACCAATAAGCAAGGCAACTTTTGTGCAAGCACACGCCTACTTTTTTTATTTAGTTTAGTTAATTTATAATTTTATAACGTCACTGCATATTATGAATAAGTAATACCGGTAGCAATGGATATGCTGCAGAATCGACTGCAATTTAAGAAAAAGAAGCCAAGCATGGCACAGTCCCCATTAGTTATCAAATTTAGGATATATAGATTTATTTATAGTAATATAGCTGGAATATGATTTTTTAACAATAAAATTGACATTTGTATCTGATCGTACTTGTCCATATTGAGAGATATTGCTCTGGAACAGCATTCAAAATCAGCCATTTTGAATACATGTATATATATATAACATGATGTATAACGAATATATAAAATTTGAATATAATCAGTCAAAGCATTTAATAGATATGGCTCTAGAAGCCCAATCATTAAAACAAAATGGCAGCCAGTCAGCCATTTTTAATTCCAATCTGAAAAAATAAAATGCATGTGCATCAGGAACCCGTAATGTCTAATGTATGTACCAAGTTTGAACTAAATCCATCCATAAATGCCAGAAATGATTTTTGATGATTTTTTAGCACAAAAATGACCACCATTCGTCCATTTTGAATAGGATCGTCAAACCAATATATTTGTTTATCTAGAACATGATGTATAATGAATATTTAAAATTTGAACATAATCAGTCAAAACAAGTCGGTTTTGGGTCTAGAAACCCATTCATTAAAACAAAATGGCCGCCAGACAGCCATCTTGAATCCAATCTAAAAAATAAATAATGTGCATCAAGGTCCTATAATGTGTAACGTATATATCAATTTTGAACAAAATTCATCTGTAAACAGCCGAGAAATGCTTGATTTTGATGATTTTTAGCACAAAAATGGCCGCCATTCGGCCAACTTGAATCAAATCGTGAAACAAATTGACGTGCAAATGTATAATATCATGTATGATGTATGTGTGAAGTTTGATTGTGATTGGTCCAGGCATTTCTAAGATACAGATCCGGACGGATGGACACACGCATGGACGGACAGACGCACTCATGGACACACGAAGGTCAAAACATAAGTCCCCGTTTTCGGACTGGCTGGCCAGTCTATGTAAAACCATTTATTCTCACAGACATTTAATTTTACTATTTTGATGTTTAGAGCATATTCATTGTGTTTTAATTTCACTAATTTGTGATGGAAACATGTTTAATTTTTCTTTATTTCAGTTAGTTTTAATCAAGAAGATGCTATCTCTATATTAACATAAAACTAATATATGCAATGATTATCCCAGAAATTACTGCATTTTATTTTGATTAATTTCTTCATGCAATATTTACTTAAAGACAATATCACTTCCAAGCCATAACCATGATTTTGTTAATTTAGATGATGTTGAATGGCCATCTGTTTTATGGGATTTTGTCGAACATTGTAATAGTAATCTTTTTTATTAGTATTTTAAATCAGGATGTCAATCAACCTCAAAGTATAGAAAAATGCTCCAAAAAAGAGAAAATCATGATAAAACCTGCTAACACATGAAGACAGAGTTGACATCACATCTTTTGAAAACTATGCTTCTGAGACTGGCATGTTTTCTTGGCGTGATATTGCAGACATTAGTACAAAAGTAAAAACAAAACTTGCTGATGATAAACTGTTGTAAATACAGTATAAAAGTATGACTGCATGACAACAATAATCCCCATTTTGACTATCACTGGAAAAACAGCAATCAAAGAAGTGTTTTTGTTTTTTTAGCTTAGCTAAGATATACATTGTAAACTAATCAATCCATGGATGTACTAGTACATCCATGATCAATCTGATGTTATTAATAACAGACTTTGACAAAACATGTAAATCTAATTACAGGAGTAAATTTAAAAACAAACAAACATTAAACTTAGGTGGAACATTTGGATTGTTGACAGCCAACAGTTCAAATCAACACTTAAGGCAAAACTAAGTCTTATCAGGTGAAATTCGGATCTCAAATTTTTGGGTTCATTCACACTTAAAAACTAGCTTTTCAACACTGTTTGTTGAGGGAATGTGGCACGACCAATCATAGTTGTGTCATATTCAATCATCCTAATGTATGTACAGAGATGATGGACATACAACTGACTGTATTTACAACCACTTTCTATTAACTTGACCTGATGGAGTGTGTTAAGTATAAAGTTAAGTTTATTGTGACAAAATTACATAAATGTACCTACCTTCCTACAACACGCAGAGCATGCTGGAAGTATGGCCCAATTTCATCTGGAATGCAAATGTACAATGAATTCAATTTTATTTATACAGCATGTGTGTTGTGTGATGTTCCATTGCATATTAATTAAAACAAAATCTATAATTGGATTATCTCTGCACAACAAGAGTTTGTGACCAAGAGATAGTAAACTTTGACACCAAATTCAAACTAGCAACACAGGCATTATCATCTTTACTTTAAACATTATCATTGAGAAAAACATTTATCTGGGAACTTGATTCTATTCTTATAGAAGAGAAAGATGTCCATAGCTGTGATTTTTATTAATACGGTTAACAAGAAAGTAATATCTGGGCTACACATTTCTTGTTTACCACAACATGGACGTACTAACAAAGGATGAACCACTGACTAATTTCTATTGATCTATTAGTTTTTGCTGCTGATTATTTTGAAACAATAAATATACACTGATGTTTACTTCTAATTACGTTTAAGATCATAATTACGTAGCCGGGTGATCCTTAAATCTGTTTACAACAGTGTATTCGGCAGTTCTTGAAGTCATTTGGCACATTCGGGTCATCATGTGGTCATGTGACATTTTTTCCTAACCTCAACAAAGGTGGCGTTGCACGTAGTGGAGCTCATTACCGCTGAAAGTGAAAACAGATTAATAAAAAAGCAGCAAGTTGACGGCATGTTTTTAAACCTGCTATCTTGTGCTATCACTAACGTCGGACATGGTAAAAAACAGTAATAATAAAAATTCAGATCTGATATTAATCTTGGTAAAGTTTAAATATCATATGAAAAAAAATTAAAGCAAAAATTTAAAAAACCACCAAGAAAGTACTGTAACTTCCTGATCTTCAACAAACTTCAGTTGATCTGAAATTATTTCTGGTGTTTGAAGGGTCACCTGTCACGTAAAGGTAACTGTGCATGCTTGTCAGTCGCTGTTTTTGAGTGCGCATTGAAATTGGTAAATAGTATGAAATATTACATTTTTCACACTATGTACACACCCCTTTTAATGACAGCAGGACTCATCCAATTACTTTGATATAATTTTATCATGTTTTATCTGAATGTTTATTGGTAAGACAAAGGTTTGAAGAGGATAACATTATACATGTAACACAAAAAGTAAACTTTCTGGAGTGCTTTTTTAATTCTCATGGGTTCATCCTGTGTTAGTACATCCATGACCACAATATACAATGAACATAACTCAGATTAGTATACAAGAAAACAAATGAATCTGACTGAAACAAAGGTTATATTTATAATCCACTTAATAGTGTTGTTCTTCCTGTGGTTTGTAGTTCCATGGACTCAGAGAGTAAAGACTCTTAATAAAACAGGAAGTTGGGCAGATGTTTTTAAAAGCGATTAACACCAATTAACCCAATTTATGCAAAGATCAACACCAATTACCCCAGGCAAAAGATACGTTTACATTCCACTGCTAAACATTTTTTTCAACAGCGATGGGTTATATGAAACCATAGGCTATACACAAAACACTGCGGATTGGTCAACTTCAACGAGCAATCACACATGTGTGCAACTTGCGTGCACAATACAATACAGATCTACCCTTTGAACGCGTTTAGAAATTAACCGTCGTGTTCAATACAATATTACTATTACTAGCCCAAGGCAATGTATTTCATTATTGCGAAAATATTGACATCTCTCACTTGGGGAAAGTCAATGAACATGAAAACTTGCATGTCCTATCAAGTCAATATTTCAAATCTCCCAAGAATGGTGCAGAGATATATGACGTACCCTCTTTCCTCTTTGTAATGTTCTGCACCAACTTCCACAGTAGATTGGGCATTTTCCCCTGATCCTCATATATATTTCGCGACATTTTAAGGAGATGTCTCCCTTTAGTTAAGAAGCAATGACACAAACCAATACAGCAAGCAAACAGTTTACGTTTTCACGTCCGCCATTTTGGTTTCCGCGGGTTATGGCTTGTGTGTGTTGGTTGCTTCTTCATTACTCCACACATTCCACCAAAACATTTCAAATAAATTGACTTTCACATAATTAGATTGGGAAAAAATGTAAGTCGTAACAGTCAGATTTCATTAAACAACACTCATCGCGGATACAACTTGTTATTGAGATTATGTACTTTCTGTTGAGTTGATTATTAATTTATTTACCCATGATGCACGTGTTGACTTCTGTGATCGAGGCAGTGTTTTGGGAGAGGGTACGAAGCGGAACTGAATATTCGGGAAACCACTGCAACATTGCGCCTTGAATTTGTGATGCCTTTTACGTAAACACTACATCAACATGTCAAAGTATTTCAGACGAATAGCCGAAACTTTGGTAAGTAGTATATTCTCGTGTTCGCGCGGCCGGTCAATTAGACTGTCTACGAATATAGGTCGCCTAGGTACGTACACAACTTGTCTGCGGAAGTAGATTACACTGTTCGTTTGTTGCATGGCGTGGCCAAAACCGAAAGTACAACACATGATTATGTGTAATATAGTTGTAATGTGTTTTTTTCGTCCGCGGTGAGTTTTTCAAATTTCTTTTCACAAACATGGCTGTTCGTAAACTTAAATACGTTAATTGATAAGCCACAGGTGCGGCGGTCCTTGTACCATGTGACCTTTGTAACCATAACGTGCCTATCATGGGTGGTACCTTTTAGTAAACCAACGGTTGATCGAGATTAGACACAATGGATGCTACTATAATTCGAATGTTGTGATTTTTAATTAAACATTGATAATCTTTCACTAGCCTGAATCAGGGTTTGCCTAGATCATAATTTAAAACCATAACAATGACTCAATAAACAAATACTTATAAATACAAATCACATGATTCACACTTCAAAGTGTTGAATAGAACCACGGCCTCTCTATCTATAGAGCGACTGTGGTAGAACGCATTTTAATTTAGGGTGGGCAATACATTTTATGCAGGGTATGATTATATCCCCGGGTTATCCATAGATTTTAAAGTTTTATTGAGAATACAATAGAAATCTTTGAAGCAAATGGTCACTGAGATCTCATCGAGAGTGAGAGAGCCATGTACGAGTCTTGTTTCACATCATAAAAGTCTTGTATAAATTCTCCTGTCGTCTTGTCGACTGTTTCTATGACTGATATAACTATGGTGTTCAGAACAGTAGAGGCAATGACAGGAGAAAATGATAGAGGCAATGACAGGAAAAAATGATAGAGGCAATGACAGGAGAAAATGATAAATGCATTAATTATTCATTGCTTTTTAGTTTTGCTATTTTTGCTGATAAATAAAATTCACTAAAACTAAAAATTAGCAATAAGAGAAAGAGAATTTAATCTATGGAAGCATGTAAAATAACAATTATAAACTGATTTTTCAATACAAATACGGTTTCAAAGCCAATTTTGACACTGTACTGTACTGTACAATACTGTACTCGTTCGACTCAGCACCCACCTCCACTTTTAGGGCATTTCTATTCAGAATTCGACTGTCCAGTCATAAAAACCCGTTTTTGTGGCTCTTCTGAACACTGGTAAACAAATTTATAATACCGGTATAACAAAGCATGGTTATCAACGGTAACCATATGTAAACTACGCTTCAACAATGATCTGTTAACAATCGTGAAAATCAGTAAATACTTCATTCCATGTTCAGTCTACCTTACAAAAATTGATAATTATGTTATTGTTTAAAAAAAAAATCATGCTGTACAGATTGTACTTCGACAATGATAATTCACTTCGCATTACGTTACCAGAACGCTTTCGGGAAATCCTGGAGAATTGCGTCAGAACAGCACTACAATATGATTAGTTAATAACAGATCTGACCTGTCAGGTCACCACCGTAAGGGTGTGATTTTGGTTCATGTCGAGCATTCAGGCAGCAAATCTCGGCACGTACCGAGTTTCGGTCCCAAGCAAGAAGAAGAATCATTAGTAAGTGTGATTCATACTGTACACATAGTAAGTAAAGACAATAAACGACAGGACAAAGCTAGTATAGCCTGTTTCACAATTAACTGGCTTAAAGCCTGCCCAAATATTTAGTTTGTTGAATAAACAGGATAAAAATTTAGATCATTATTTAGGTGGGCTTAAAATGTTCTCTTTTCTTGAGAATGCAGATGAGATGAGATGCGCCCTCCACAGTGCTCCAAACCCAACACACACCTTACAGAACGATGTAGTTTTTCACCTTCCCGACGATTTTTTTGTTAGTACCAATCAAATTGCAGGAACGTCAGATTGTGAAAGCCATCAAAGAGTAACCATTCATGGCGGAGTTATTTGTTGACATAAAGTGTGATAAATTCCCGCCCAATGTTTATCATCTTGTTGAAAACAGTATGTGATTTTTGCTGACAATGCCAACACGGCTTTGTCTTCCTGGTTGTCCGTTTGATCAAGAGTTTCAATGTTGTTTTCATGGTCTGCAAAAATTACATGTTTTTTTAGCACAGTGACTCTTTCCCGTTACAGTCGCGCATCGTCCACAAAAGTAAACACTCATTGTTTACTTGTCAGGCTTTAGTGCCATCTGATGCCGTTCGATCGACGAGGGCACCAGTCTTGCCTACATGTCAGGCTACACAATAATTTACTTTCATTGATGAAAGAACATTTTTACTACATGTACATGTACATAGGGAATTTGCAAACATAGAAAGCATTCAATAATACAAACACATGTAAGTTCTAGCTATTTTTAGTTTTCCATGCCGTTACTGTGAGTTACCTACAAAGTTCTCATAAATCCAAATAAAAGTGCAATATCAATATCAGATGTAATTCACAGTGCAGTAAAGAGTAGTGCATAAATTAATAACTGGTGTGTTTATGGTCATAATACAATGCTCGGCATAAATCCCATTCTCTAATAGCGAAATATAATACTGTAAATTGCTTTAATTTATCAGAAATAAATGTTTGTGAATTACGAATTGTACCGTTAAAATTTCACTGAGCTGGTTGACATATTTAGAATATTGTAACAACAAAACCGTAACATCTCAATTTGCTCTAACAAACAGAAACAGCTTCTAGTATTTGAAAATGAAAATAGCTGTGATTTTCAACATTTTTTGTACTGACCGGTACTAGTGATTCAATATACAATGTTGATATATATATATATATATATATATATATATATACTACCGGTACATACATGTAGCATATATTCTATGCTCCCAGTGATTTCAGCGATAGCCAATTCAAATTGATACAATGTACATGTACTACCAGTAATAACACAAAATGTTTTATTAAAAAAAATCATAGAAAAATTTCAGTTATTGCTGCATTGATACATAAACTCCAAGAACACATGGCTAGTCAGATTATTTTTTAATTTTTCTGTATTAACAATCTGTTAATATTTGACATTTTTTTAGATTAATGTTCTATAGTGACAACATTGACAATTCATATATTATTGTATTTAAAAAAAATGCCAGACATATTTATAGGAAATTTAACAGTTATAAACAGTATTTGTCATACAGAACAATAAACATAAATTAATTAATTTTTTCCTTCAGTATGTGATTTCTTTGAAATATTTCTGCTATAAATTAACTTTATCATCAGCTCAGTGTATTTCAAATATTGAATAATCATTATGCAGCTTCTAGCCAAATTAAAAATCATTTTATACATACATTTCATTCATCATATTCTATACATATTATAAAGAAAACTATGTGGCACAATTTTTATATTATTGTTTTGGTATTGGTTTCTATGTTTTTCATATCTAGAAGTCATGATTGGTGGTATCCATGTATCGTATTTTCTCTATTAGGAGTGTGTTAAAATACTCAAAAACAATTTTAAAACATAGGGAACCCAGGCATGCGTACATGTATGTGATTAAAAGTCCTGAATTTTTTTTTACGTTTCTCTTTGATTGGGTCACTGTTGATGTTATATGGAAATGAGTTGCTGACCTCAGAACGGTACGATGGTATGACTTTCTGCCCTGGTTTCCTGTTTACTTACCACAAGTGCGATCGATTATTTGTGTGGAATAATGTTGAACTTTGCATGGTTCGTTTTGCTGGGGATTGCAAAAAAACATAATTCGTTAAAGATAAATCTAAACTCAGCCTTAGAGTAGGAGAGTCGTCACCTGTGCATGCGTCAGATGGCCATATAGCGTATCCTTGTTTACAAACAAGCGTCTACCCATGAGCCTTTGTGTTTTTAGCGTGTGTTAGTTGTTATAGGCTCCTGGGACGACCCTCCCGCTTTAAATACAAACCACCCATCGCCATCGCTATGTTTAAATAACTGTGCATTTTCTAAAATATTATATACAGTACATGTACATAAAATCATGGAAGGTACTAACGGAAGGAGCCACGACGCTATTGTTTTATCTTTACCCCATGATTGTTTGTCAATGTTCAGTGTTCTCCCCACTGTGGTGGCCTAATTTGCATATCATTTACATAATAATAGAAATTGACCAAAGCACATTTACACCCACACATTGAACAACATATTTTCAAAAACAAAGTGGCAGATATTTATTTGCTTTATTTTGGGCACTTTTGTAATATTAATGAGCTTGATCACAGTGCAAATATTTTTTTATTGGAGTCAAAATATTACGTTTCACAGTTTAGAAGAATTTGAATTTAAAAATGAAACATTCTCGAAATGCAAGTGCTGCAGACTGAAAAGAAACAAATAAATTGTAAAAGGTTAAATGAAACTCATTTGAAACGTTTCAGCCAGGATTATGTTCACGACTTTCATGATCTTATTTACTACAAAATTCTCCTTCAACAAATCGACCACGTTATTTGGCGGATTGCTGGTTATTATTCCGACCATCTACTTCTACAACGTTTACATTTACAGTTATGAACGAACAAATAAAACTTCCAAACGATCATCAAAGTTACGACGTGACATAACTTACTTCGCGATGTTATACACCGGTTATATAAATAATTCCTCTTATTAGGTCAATGTTGCTTTTTTTTTTTATGAAAAAAAACGTAAAATTTGAATTAGTTTTATCGGGAGCAATTATTTTTGATCACTCGGTCACTTCGGTGAAAAACACTGACCCGCCATGATAGTTGTGACGCATTAGTTGACCGACATGTTTCCTTTGACCTGATGGGTCAAAAATGCCATTAACCAATCAGAATGCCGCATGGTAATGCCGATAGAACCCGAAGTTGTTCGAATGGTAGTGATCATAAAAATTACATTGCGAAAGTAAAGCGATGTCGTAGCACGATGTGTTTGTATGGATTTCAGATGAAAACTGCATGATGGTTTTTGAAAGAGGTGATTAGCAATCTTTAAAAGGTAAAAGAA